GGATCCGTTTGGACGCAAATGTTCTTGATACGATGCCAGGGAAAACGGGGGAAAAAAAGATTGTTTTAGTATGTGTGGACTTGGCCTAATACACATCAAAATCGCTCTTTTTAAAATACTAAGAAGGCTTGACATAACATGACAAAATGGAGTAATAACTTTGCTAGCAACCATGCTAACTAAACCCTAGTCCAGTGGTTCTCAACCTTTTTTCAGTGATGTACCCCCTGTAAAATATTTTTTCAGGCAAGTACCCCCTAACCAGCGCAAAAAAATTTGTTGAAGAAAAGCCACCACAGTACCGACGACCTACGACTGGCGGGGGGGGGATGCGAGCGATCGTAACACACCCCGGACCTACAACCGGCGGGTGGGGGGGGCGCGCCATCGTAACACACCCCAGACCTACGACCGGCGGGAGGGGGGGGGGGGGGGGTGCACGCGATCGTAACCCACCCCGGATCTCACGTACCGTAAGTTATTACTCCATTTTTTCTACTCATATGACTCATGTCACTGACCTCTCCACCCTTTACATGACAGGCTAAATCGATCTCTGGTTCACCCCAAACAAATATAAAACCTTACAGTAATCTCACAAAATCATGTTTTCCATAAGTATGTAATCATGTCAGTGCAATTTAGACAAGTCCAATGGATTCATAGACCGAGAAAACATGGGGTTAGACACCAAGATTACTTGGCTAGGTCAAATAATGAAGGAGTTAGGGTATTTTAAGGGCTTCCTGCCCATCTTGGACGCCATCTTGAAAATTACACCTTTCTAGTGGTCAAACTTAGTATGTTATTGAGGACACCTAATACTACAAAAAACACCTGAGAAACCTTTTGTTAGAATTACTTTGGGGTTAGGTGTTTTTTTTTTCATATCTGCAGCTGTCTAAATTTACCGTCATTTATTTGTAGTGTTTCGATTTGCTGTGCGCTTTGTGAATAGATGCTGCAGTGTTTCAGTGGCGGAACATCAGAGATGGATGGAGATGGTCGACATGGTGCAGCGTGGCTGGAGATGCTGGTGGTTAAGAGGGCCATGTGTATGGTGGGGGTGGGGGGGTGGGGGCAATGACTCACCCAGATGGTGCGCACGACGATTAGCCGCTCTGTCATGGCTACCATCTCGTATGTGTGTGTGTGTGTGTGTGTATTTGTGTTTGTCTCATGGCTTCTGTTGTCTTTGGCGTGTGGTGGAGCGATGTCATCTCTTAGTGTGGATGAACCCCCCCTCACCACACCCATCCACTTCACACACACACACACACACACCCACACGCACACACACATTTTTGGATTTGTTATTTTCGTGCTCAGGCCCGCCGATCCAAAACGTGGCTCTGAGTTGAAATGTGATCACCTTCTGTGTTTTCTAATCTATGCACAGCTTGCAATAACTCTTATTTCCTTCATCTCCCCCTTTCTTTTTTTTCCCTTTGGAAGCTGTTGTCAGACGGCAGACAAGACCGTCGGTGCCACGGCCTTTTGATTCCCAAAACCACAAACGCGCTCGTTAACCAGCAGCTTCCCCCCCCAAAAAAAGCTGCCACCTTCTATTGTCTTTGTGTCATTTAATGCTTGTCACGTGTGAAATGAACTATCCCAGCGAGCGGGGAACGCCGGCCATAAAGAATGACAGGCGGGAGTTAGAAATATGCTCCTTTATGGGATCTGGGGTCTACTTTTACAAGGTTAATGAACTAGCACTAACTTTAATAGCCTGTAGCCTCCTTCCCCCCCCCCATCCATCCACATGCATCTTCATGAAGATAAAGTCATGGCGGGGCGAAGGGGGTGCCATTTTGAAACAGATGCGGCATTGGCGCCGCGCGAAATGAAAGCAAAAAAAAGCAAAAAAACCCAGTGATGAATCACATTCAGTTTCCCGCTCTTCCTTTCGGCACCCCCCCCCCACACACACACACACACACACTTATTCACCCACCATCATCATCCCTCGGTCCTCCATTGTTCATCACCTGGCGAACGCCCCTGAATCACCTTCGTCTCCGCCGCTGCCTTGAAGAGAGTTGAGGCTAGAAGAAACAAATGGGGGAGGGGGGGGGGGGGGGGGGGGGTGGAGAGAATAAGCAGGAGCCAAACTGTGGATTTTCGGAGTCACCTGGGACATTGACGTGTGGGGTGAGGAGGGGGGGGTGGGAGTGACACCCCCAAGAGCAGAATTAACAAGCAAGCCAAGGTAACAGACTCAGGACTGCTCCCAGCTCTGGGGTGGGGGGGGGGGAGAGAGAGAGAGAGAGAGAGAATGTGGGAAAGTGCGAGTGTTTGTGTGTGTGTGTGGGTGAGAGAGAGAGAGAGAGAGAGAGAGAGAGAGGCAGTCAAGGTGACAAGTGGTGATGCCAACTCGCTGTGTCTGTTTGTATGTGTGTGTCTGAAATGTTGTTTTGTGTGCAGGTGTGTGTTTCGCTGTTGTGCTGCTCGGTTGGCTCCATACATACAAGAGGGAATAGGTGTTTACATGGGAACGTGTTTGTGGGTGTTTGTGTGTATGTTGTATGTTTATCAGAGTGAGGCATAGAGGACCTGAGAGAGTTGTGTAACTGTGTGTGTGTGTGTGTGTGTGTGTGTGCGTGCGTGTGTGCGTGCGTGCGTGCGTGCATGTGTTTTTTAATATCTCCATTTCCCGGTGTGGCCTTAACGACATGACGACTCACTCCACATCCCACTCACTGTGGAAATCACGAGCATGCGACAAACCTTTTTATGAGGCAGGGCTCAACTTTTAAATTCAATCCAAAGAACTTGCAAAGGCGCAATCCAAGGCTCCCGCACACCACGCATTAAGTTACCTAAAAACACAGACACCCACACACAGGTGGCAGGAATAACCATGTAAAAAAGAAAGGTAAAGCATGAAGCAATCTTAAACACACACACACACACATCCATAGACACACTAACTTAGGATTGGCAGGTCGGTTCTTAAGTATTTGGAAACGGTACAAAACAATACTTTTCCCCTGAGATGTGAGGTGAAGATTAATCAAGAGGCCGGGTTTATTTTGGGTATGGTACAGAGAGAGAGAGGGAGAGAGTGGGAGGGGGATAGTAGGTATAAGGAACTTGCATAGGAGTAGGGACCTGCACACACTGCTACCTCTCTCCATCCATCTATCTATTTCTTACTCTTTCTAACTATCTAACTATATTTATTTCTATACCCCCAACCCTGTCTCCCTCCTGTCTTTCTATCCCTCAATTTTCCTCTCTATCCTTCAATCTCCCTCTCTTAACCCCTCTCTCTCTCTCTCTCCATCCCTCCCACCCTCCTCGTGACACCCAACTATGGAGGAATGGCGCGTTGCATTTAAAGCAGCGCCGGCAGAAGCAACATTTCATACACAATGAGCTGGCGACACACGGAGCGCTGCTTGTTAGAGAGGGAGAGAGATAGAGAGTGGCGGTGGGTGGTGGGTGGTGGTTGGCTTGTGCTTGAATAGATCGATATTTATAGCGAGCGTAATAATGAATAATGTGTCAGGGCTACCTGCATAATGCATCTGGAGAATGAAGGGGAAAACACAGCACTGTTCAGAGTGTCACTTTGTATAGTGGCTGCCTCCGCTGCTGCTGCTGCATCCAGGACATTTTGCTTTAAGTAGTGAATGTGCACATGCACATTCACACACATTTACATACACACACACACACACACACACACACACACACACACACACACAAATACACACACGCACAAATAAGCTGATACATGCAAACTTATAGAAGTACATACTTACATGCATACACACACACTAATTTACATGCACACATTTACATGCATTCACACACACACACACACACACACACACACACACACACACACACAAACAAACGTATACATGCACATACTGACATGAACACACACAATATACAAACAATACAAAATATAAATATGTGAATACAATGATCTGCAGTTGTAGAATATGTATCATTATAGCTACTGGTACCTGTTGTACCATGTATCAGAACAGACAAATGTAAATATATCCTAGTTTGACTTGCTTGTTATCCGGTAAAAAACATTCACCAAGCAGAGCCCAGGTGGCAAGGCCTGTATTATAAAGTCCAGAAATGATTTCATATTTTCAATTCACAGCTAACTACATAATTGAGAGTGAAAGAATTGGAGCAGTGTGACCGCGGGTATGTAGACTCACAACAACCAACAAGGCATCTTGGAGTTAAAAAAACTTCTCCTGCTTTCTCAACCACTGCAATTTTCTTTTGTCATTATACTTAACATCTGGTGATTTTTTTATTCCTCTCTGGGCTCGGCGTGTTTAATAAGCCTACGTTTTCACAACTCTCCGTGGTAGTCAACGCAACCATTTAGGGACTGAGTGAAGAGAAGGAGATGAGACAATGATTTGAGGCAGTTTATTGGCAATGACTGGGCTTTGACGTTCCATTAGCAATTGCACAGGGAAATGAACCGGATATATCTGCACTTAGAGATGATGTGTGCACATTCTAGGATTCCTGGCAACTGCAGGCTGTTTGTACAAAATGCTGTTTTCACGTCCTGTATGAATATGAATCCAGCACGGTAAGTGTGGGCATCAAGTCAACGCGGAACCACACAGGGTACATCTATATATATTTAATCCTGAGGTGTACCTACAGTATGCATTATGTACATATTCATTGCATAAACACCCTTTCATTTATATTTAGTACTAACTGACATCTGTTGGATTTGTAGTGGTGGTGGTGGTGTTTTTCAGTGTGGGGAATGGGTGTTTTTGGAGGGTGGTCTCTGGGTTGGTTTTTTTTTGGGGGGGACATGGCTGTTTATCCGTCATGGCATGGTTCATCTCCCACCACCTCCTCCTCCTCCTCCTCCTCCTCCTCCTCCGAGAACCACAGTGTTGCTGCACACTCAGCACAGAACAACGGCTAAAAATACCAGATGGAGTGAAGCGGGAGGAGGAGGATGTGGCTGAGGTGAATGTGAGGTGCTGATGTTACCGTCTGGCTCAACTGGTAGAACATGGCGTGAACACCGCCAGGGTCAGGGGTTCGATTCCCCACTCATGGTGGCCACCCATGCTGAGTATTGTACACTTTTGGCGTACATGTAGGTAGGAGTTGGAGGAATGGCGGTCAGAGGTAAGGGTTTATAATTGAGGTTAATACTTTTTTTATAGTTTTAGTCAACAGATGGACTGTCACTCTGACATGTTGATTCTGCTTCTGGACAAACTGCTGGCAAACACCGAGCAAACACAGACAGTTAAAACAGAAAAAAAAACACAGTACTGTCTGAGCGATAATAAAAGTTATCAGGGTCTTTTTTTTACGTAAACATGTGAGTGCTCTTTTGTTGTCAAGAGCCCAACCACAGTGAATATTTACGCAGTGCAGCAGAAAAGGGGAGCCTGGGCTTGGGGTTGACACAAAATGCATTAATTTCTAGCTATCTTCATTTTAAAAATGGCCTCAAAAGATCACTTTTTCAAAAGAGATCTTCTCTCTGAAAGTAGCAATTTGCGACATTACTTATTGTAATTTCTTTCCATTATATTTTATACACAAGTATGACCCTGTCATCTTTCTTACTTTTTTTTTTCTTTCTTTCTCTTTTTTTATAAATATAAAACACAATCACTTGAGTGCTTCAGATGTGCTCTGCTGAATGAATAATCAGTGGCAAAACTGCTATTGTCCAACATTTTGATCATGTTTGACACGTAAAAGAGAAAGGAGACATGACTTCTGCTTGCTGAATGTGATAAGTCATAATTTACTTCGCCTTTCTTATATTCGTTTTATTATTTTTCAATCAAAGTCTGTTCCTCAAATGCTTACATTTTGTTCCTATATCTCGACAATGTAGTACTTTGTTGACCCACGGTAATCACTGCAGCAGTAATCCAAAACGGGAACACAAACAACTCAACTCGAAAAGTGTCAAAATAAATAGCTAGCTAGCTTTTCATGGTATGCAACACAAACATGATTACCAAATATTATTATCTAATACTAGTGTTGCCGCAGTTACCTTGAAAAAGTAATCGGATTACTGATTACTCCTGTAAAAATTAACTTAGTTACTTTACTGATTACTTGATTTTAAAAGTAACTAAGTTAGATTACAAGTTACTTTATTATTTACATTCAGCAGCTGCCGACAACACCCCCCGCTGCCTCAACATAAAAATGACAACCGGTTTTGCCAATTGATTTCGCCAATGTGACGTTTTACCGTGTTCTTGGCGCAAAGCATTGTGGGGGAATGGGGCAGAGGGGCAGCCTGAAGGCAGCAGCGGCAGCGGGAAGAAAGTTCGGATGAATGCAGCGCGAATAACTACCGTCAGAGAAAACAACGCGTCGTGTAAGTCAGACTGACCCGAAAATGACGAGAAGTTGTTGCGTTATTAACTGTAACAGTCGCTCCCATGACCATCGTAGATGGCGGATCACACCAGACATACATTTTTACCGTTTTCCTGCTTGGAAGCGGAATAGCACTAGCCATGTTTCAGACGTTACCAAGAGGCGACGGATGGCATGGATAGCGGCAGTGAGGAGACCCAATATCACCTTCGACCACACTCCCCCACATATGGAGGTGTGCTCAAAACATTTTCACAAAGGTAAGTTCTAAATGTTTTTGAATTAAATTACGTAGTGATATATAATGTAGGTTACAACGTGCTAGCACTGCTAACGTTAGCTATCGCTTCACCAACGTTTCCGTAAACAACATCCGCGACAACAAATACAGCCAGCGAAGGCAAGAGTAACGTTAGCCTACTGCAGATGACACTTGTGAAAGTTTGGTTTTGTTTTATTTTTTGCTTGCCTTGTTTTCAAATAGCTGGGTCACAGTGTAAATACTCTATAGTGCTGTCATGTTCATAGCTATCGCAGTCACGAAAGTCTGGTAACACAGAACTGACATGCCAAAGTCATATGACTGTTGTCTTATTTACGTTGGTGTAAGGATTTGATGGCACTGATAGGTTAATTGGGGTAATTGCTTTGATTTTGAGACTAGCCTAATAACTTTCAATATGTGTCATGGTTTTTCAGTAATTAACAGTAATCAGCTTTCCTTCAGGCTAAAATGTTTTGATTTTGTGTTTGCAGGCAAGCCTGCCTATGAGATGCTAGAATGTGATCCCGACTGGGCACCCTCTCTGAACCTTGGCCACTCAGAGGTGAAAGCTGCAGGCACCGACAGATTTGAACGGTTAGGACGAAGAGTTACAAGATGCCAAGAAGAAGCCGTCACTGGGGAGAAAGAATCAGCAGAACAAGCTAGCAATTCACTACCACCACCCCCTGACAACACCAGCCATGATGCAGATGATGTGACCCCTCTGTACTACTCAGGTAAATATATTGATTGTAATTACACCAGTTGCGAGGATCAAGTCATGTTGTGTTATACAATCTGTTTGTCTGTGTTTTTGTTTTTTTTACCTTCACCTGATATGTTTCCTTTTTATTCAAAACCATGTAGCAATCAAGTGAGCGCGTTTACATGCACACTAAAAAAACGATTATTATCGGGTTTTTATAGTTACCTGGTTATTCAAGTGTTCATGTAAACGGAATAAACCGATATTCATTATCGGTTTACTGCCGTTATCTGTTTTTGAAAAACCCGTTTCGCACACCTAGGTTTCTGTCAATATTCTGATTTCTTCCAGACATGTATACACCTTAAACAGGTTTATTTCGGTTTTTTACATCTGCGCATGTGCGAAAAAACGAATGTTGATTGTTGACAACGCGCGAGCGACCAAAATCGTCACTTGAGGTCTTCTTTCAATTTTCAGGGTAAGAGAGGGGGGAGAGGGGGGGGGAGAGGTGTGACACATGCGCTTGCGCCCACAAGCATGTTGCTGTTTTGTTTGCAAGTTTCTTTTCCGTTAATTTAACCGACAGTCAGATAATTGCTGCTTGTGAAAATATTGCAGTGTATTTAAAAAAAAAACATTTTACATTCCGCACTCATGCGGTGCAGTGTTACCTCGTTCTGAAACCAAAATCAACATTGGCTGATGTACAAACATCGTTGTTTAGGTTTCTTTTAGTCCAAGAAGCTACGTAGGCATTGTCTTTTTTTTTGTTCCATTACCTTTAACCCCGTAATGAGCCGCCGGATCCACCCCCCCTCTGCGTTCCGGGACCTCCCACTTTACAAATTAAGCACTGAGTGTTACGCCACGTCCCGCTACACGGTCCAACACCCACCTCTAGTGGCTGCTGGTCGTAACTGGTCCTCCTTCCCGCAACCCACCTGTTGGCAATTATTAATCTATGTTCACTACTTAAGCCGGGGATTCTCAATCAGCCGGCGCCAGTTCGTTGTTTCCCTAGCCTACTAGTAATTCTCAACCCGCCTGCCCGACTACTCGTCCCTCGCCCCGCCTGCACGATCGTCCTCCCGGTTCCAGACCCCCGCCTGCCTGACTACCTGCCTGCTGCCGAGCCCCCCGCCTGCCTGACTACCCGCCTGCTGCCGAGCCCCCCGCCTGTCCGACGACCCGCCTGCTGCCGAGCCCCCCGCCTGTCCGACGACCCGCCTGCTGCCGAGCCCCCCGCCTGTCCGACGACCCGCCTGCTGCCGAGCCCCCCGCCTGTCCGACGACCCGCCTGCTGCCGATCCCCCCGCCTGTCCGACTACCCGCCTGCTGCCGAGCCCCCCGCCTGTCCGACTACCCGCCTGCTGCCGAGCCCCCCGCCTGCCTGACTACCCGCCTGCTGCCGAGCCCCCCGCCTGTCCGACTACCCGCCTGCTGCCGAGCCCCCCGCCTGCCTGACTACCCGCCTGCTGCCGAGCCCCCCGCCTGCCTGACTACCCGCCTGCTGCCGAGCCCCCCGCCTGTCCGACTACCCGCCTGCTGCCGAGCCCCCCGCCTGCCTGACTACCCGCCTGCTGCCGAGCCCCCCGCCTGTCCGACTACCCGCCTGCTGCCAAGCCCCCCGCCTGCCTGACTACCCGCCTGCTGCCAAGCCCCCCGCCTGTCCGACTACCTGCCTGCTGCCGAGCCCCCCGCCTGCCTGACTACTCGTCCCTCGCCCCGCCTGCACGATCGACCTCCCGGTTCCAGACCCCCCGCCTGCCTGACTCCCCGAACGATCATCCAATAAATTCCTTTGCCTTTTACCCTGTCTCTGCCTCCCTGTGTCCAGCTTTTGGGTCCCAGTTTCTTGTACCGTAACAATTCTCCCTTATAGACTCACCATGCTATTGTTGTTGTTATATGATTGATTGAATGGACATTATTGTTTATTTGCTATTCTCCTTTATTTTCATTGTTTATTTTCGTTAGGTAAGACTATTGTTTGATTTGTCATTGGTGTTTAGCCTAGCCTAATTGCTATTATGTAGTATGGCCAACTTTTTTTATAGGCTGCATTGCTTTGAACAAACGCGTCTGCCAAATCCCACGAGTTTTGATGACAATTTTACGTCACGAACTTGAAGAAAAACCCGACAATTGACCGAATCATGTAAACCCATTCGGTTTTGGATATCAGAATTCTTAAATGCATGTATACACCTTAAACGGTTTATTCCAGTTACCCGATTATTGCCAGTAATCAGTTTTTTAGTGTGCATGTAAACGCGCTGTTGCTCACACCTCATGTCCTCTCTAGACTATGCAACAGAGGTTTAATAACAGACAAAGTTTTATATAAATAGGCCTTCATAATGTAAAGTAATAGATGTTGTAATGGTTTAGATATCAACCAGACATGTACTGTATGTAAAGACACTTTTCCTGCTCTTTATATCATTAGACAACACTGCACCTACGGCTGAGACGGAAGCGGGCACATCAGGTGTAGTAGCACAGGATGGCAGAGCACAGTTGGAGAGCACAGGTGCACAGCAGGAGTACAGCGAATGTTGTCTCCACCTTCAAGAAATTGTACGTTTACGGGAGGAGAATGGAATGCTGAAGGAAGAACTCTCGAAGAAGAGCCTGGACGAAAACTTCCTCAGAGACAACGACTGCAAGGTGAAATACTACACTGGGCTTCCGTCTTTTGCTCTACTGATGGGTGTGCTAATGGAAATCCAT